TGTTTTTTGCTATAATTAAGGGAGAGAATGTTATACTTCGTTTCCAATCTAAAAGCTTAGATCGAGAAATTTTAATTGAATTTAGTCAAGGATATATTTATTATTTGCATTCTCAAAGTTCGATTATGATTACGGCATCCCTCTTCATTGTTCGAATTTTGAGACATGACAAATAGAAATATTATGACAGTATTATAGCAAGAAACTTGTAAAGTATCACGTTTTTCATTATGAATCGTATCCCACACGCTTCGGGTATAGGATCGGTTTCATATGTTGTAATATTCGACCGTTCTAAAATTTTCCAAATGCCTAGGGCATTTAGAGGGAAAGAGGGAATAGAACCGAATTTGACTAAAATAATTAAACAACTGTCAAGGACAATCTAAGGTTCGCCAAGGATTGGTCGCTTGTGGACATTTGGAAGTATAGTCATGGATGGACCATATTGACATTATTATGAATAGATAAGACTCTATTTAGAATGAGTTGTCATATGGCAAATATGGAAATGTTTCCTTCTTGGGAGTTGGACGTTAATAATCTATGTCTAGATTAGAAACTTCTATGGAAGATGGACGTTCAAAGGAATGTAGTATGAATGTGAGACTTCATGACTATGGAATTGTCTTGTAACAATCTCCAATAGAGCACTTTGTAATTTCATTGGCAATGTCTTGGTGACTTTGGCGCTATGATATTATGAAAGGACCGTTGTATAAAATTTTAGAATCTAACATATTCTATAAGTGGCAAGAATTTGGTATTCTCACACTTGACGTAAGGATTAGGAATTGTGAAATGACTGTGATTGAAAATGTTATTCAATTATACAATTTCACAAAGTAAGGACCATAGGTAAACATAGTGTGCATGCTAAGAGCATGGGACAATTGTTGTTATAATTCAAGTAAGAAGTTCATTATCCGAAACAACAAATAATGAGTAATCAATATGGTGATTAAATAAAAGGTGTTTTATTTATACTCAAAAGTTTGGGGCCATATTGGATTAGTATTATTCCTGTGTTTCACTTTGCATGTTTTGACTTATCGAATAATAAGATTATTCAAACCCTCCTCAGTCGCTCATTCTTTGGAAGTAGGAATGAATGAAGACTGTCACGAATCTGTCTGTAGATTGACTAAAGCGTTTAGTCATAGCACAAGTTTGCTACAGAGTTCATGAGTGCTGTTATAAGATTAGAGTATTGGATCAAACCCACGCTCACTTGATCGCTTCATAGATTTTATCACGAGTGATTGGTGAGACGATAATATCTTATAGTCTTGAAACCGAGATGTGTGAGTTGTATCTTACAATTCGGTTACACATTGATAATATGTAAACGCACCAGTAACTTGGTGTTATAAAACGTATTGTTGTGTGTGATTCGGTAAGTGAGTACAAGTGAGCATTGAGTCGAAGTTTATCTGTTCCTTTTACCCAAAGTGGGATAAAAATGATATTTGTGGTCCCCTCGATGATTTAGTGATGACACCCTAAGCGCTTGGACAAGCCGGGACTAAGTTGATGTGTTCAATTGTTGTCAGTTGTCAACCGTCATAAATCGGAAATCGAGAAACAACACATGAACGGAGAGTATGATTAAAATCCATGTCTCAGTTCATACGATATCTAGAATGGAGGAATATATGATCCCTTATCTAAAGGACAAGTTGCTGATAAGATTAGAGTTCGACAATGTCTTTGAGAGCTACGATTGCTAATCGGATTGTACTTACATTATAGTTACTAGACTTATCCAAGTGGGAGACTATTGGATTAGTGTCTAAGCCCGTAACTATATTTGGTATGTATTTGACCCGGTTGTCCATGGTCCTTTTGGGTTGCTTTCACCAAAGCAACTTGATAGGATGATTTATGGAGAAAAAGGATTAATTATGATTTATAAATATATTATATGAATAATATATTAAAGGAAAAATCATATTGTTTAATTAATATTAGTCAAGAATTAATTGATAGTTAATTTTGTGACTAAAAGACATTGATTAAACTTAGGGGACTGGAATTGTAATTATAAGATAATTGTAATTGGGCTATGGATCACCTTGGAACATAGGTTGGACGAATTCTATGGGAAGCCCATAAGGAATTCGTCCAAGGGGTGTTCTAAAGGGAGTCCATGGGTTGCTTACGGCCTAAGCAGTTAAGTTAGGGTTTCCTAGTTGAAAACCCTAATAGCCTCACTATATAAAGACCCCTATGGCCCCAAAAACGTGGTGAACTTTCTTAGAAGAACCCTAGGTCGTTTTTGGTGCTCCTCCTCCTTCTCATAAGTCATTCTCTTGCTTGTGGTGTTTGTAAGCCATTAGAGGAGTGACACTTGTGACTCTAAGCTCCAAAGAAAGAAGATTGAAGAGATTCAAGCCATTCTACAAAAGGTAATCATCTAGATCAACTCTTATGTGATAATTTTGAAATGCATATGCTAGATTAGGGTTCTTGAGCCTTGGATGAATTTCATGTACAATAGAGAAACCTAGATCCAAGCTTTAGGGTATGCATGAGCATATAGGATGTTCTTTTGTATAAAACCCATCAGCCAGTTCCTTCGCCGTCTAGTCACTGTTCGCGTTATACGCCCCGTGTAAGGAAGTGTACGCCAAGCATACGCATTAGGCAGTCGAATTTCGTTGACTTTTGACTTTTGGCCAAGATTTAGTGTTTTGGACCATAAGAAGGGAAAAATGGTCTTTTTTCCCTTAGAGGAAATAGATGTGGGATTTGGACTCGTGAGTTGAGCTTTGGACGTTAAATATTAATTAGGGTTAATTATTTCGTTGACTAGGAGAAGTCTAATTCTGGCAGTTCGGCTGTGAGATTTACTTGTCGTCAGTATCAGGTGAGTCTCCTCAGTCCTTACCTGTGTGGTAGAATAGTTGTATTTGTGATGACCTGTTGGGTCTGCTGTTATTCTGTGTTACGTTGTTATGTGTGACTGAGACTGAGGACAGTCCCTAGAGTTGCTGATAACTCATAGGGTGTGTTGTTGCCTACTGGTATTGCTGATAGTCCCCAAGGTTGCTGATAACCCATAGCTGTTTATTTATGTGGTGTTGTGTGTGATATCTTGAAGAACTCACTAAGCTTCGTGGTTACAGTTGTTGATTTATGTGTTTCAGGTACTTCTAAGAATTGCGGGAAGGCGAATGTCTGATTGTGCACACTCGCTGGTAGGATGGATATAGGACCGGGACAGTTTGAGAAACTCTGATATTTTGTGATAATGGTTGTTTTGGATAACTATGTGTTTGATAACTTTGTTTGTGAAACTTGTTTTTGGTAAATTTAAAATAAAAAAAAAATTGGTCTAAGATTTGAGGTGTTACATAAACATTATTCTTAAAATTAAAGGTAAAAAATGCAATTAAATATAATTAGATAAATGTCCAAATATTTCAATGTACATTGTTGTTAAACTATATAAGAAATTGCTAAGTAATAACAACATAGTTTTCTTTTAGTCTTTCTACCTGTTTAACTTATTTACTGTGCATAAGAAACTAAAACAATCTAGTTACCTAAAATACCCCTGCCCTAAGAAGTCCTATTTATTTTTCTGAATCACCCATAATTACCATGTTTATGAGATAGCAGAAAAAATGCATTGCTTTTTTTTTTTGCATATAATGTGAGCATAACTAATTGTGTTAAATAGCATTGTAGTAAAGTAAGATGGTAAAAATGGCCATTTTACTCCTAAATACGACTTGTTTTGTTTCCCTTTTGTTGTTTATTGAGGAATATTGAACGTTAGCGGTGGAGTATATAGTATCAGACGAGGAGTCTAGGGTTTATTGGCGTTACTGATGGAGCAATTCCGTGTAAGAGATGGTTGACACAGTTATCACATTACCCATAGTTAATTTTGGTAAGTACATTAAATCCAACATTAGTTTTAAAATCTAGACCAATTTTACAAATATATTTTGATAAATATTCTATACTATGTCATTCTGGCAATTAATGATCGACCATCAATGGATATTTACCCACAAACTTGATCCTCAAGAATCAATCGTCCAGTGGAAGTTTGTGGATGTGTTATGTTTCTTGCATGCTTATCAAAATGCATTCTAAATGTCGTTCACATGTTCTATAACTCGTATTGCATTGAAACAAAAAAGCAATCCAAATATACTTTAAATGTAATGTCGCAATGAATATAGCACAATGTGTAAATATCAAAACATTGGGTGTGAGTAATCGAATAATCATTCAAACGAACTTGCCGACAGACCTTTCATAAAATTGAATCTTTCTCGTTGAGCTTTCTTAGACATTGAGAGTTTAACGCGAGGGGGTGCAAAACGATAAATATATGTACAATTTTACCTTATTTACATTATTAAGATCAGTTTCTTCATGAAATTAAATTGTTAAATAAATATAATTGTCAGTATACAAGATTATTATGATTTCATTTAACACAATCATAATTTCAACTTTTTGTGAAAACATTAATTTTGTAGCCAAACATTATAATAAGTTTGTGCTAATGAGACCCTTTCATGTTGAAAGGCTATACAATGAATAAGGTATAGTCAACCTCGAATAGTCACAATGTCAAATGATAGAAGATATTCTCACTTAAACAAGCAAGAAAAATGTATCAAATGTTTTTGAAAAAAAATATAAATAAAGATAGTGTGGCCATTTACAAATAAGAGCTGTTAAAAAATAGTTATGTATAGTAAGGAGTACTATGGCCATTAACGAATAACTAAGAGCTGTTAAAAAAAACTACAAAGGAGTATTATGGCCATTTACAAATATTTAAGATCTGTTGAAAAAAACTACAAATAAAAAATCCGGTACCACTTTATTCATCAAGCAACAAAAGTGTCATTTTTCTTAATGGTTGGGCTGTATGTGATGATATGTACAATTTTAGGGGGGGTGATGCAAATCACCATCGCTAGAGATCAGGGTTAGGGTTGACGCCCACACTTTTCTTACTATATATACATTAGATGTTCAGTTTCATTTTCATACGATTTCACAGCCGCTGTCATAATCAACCATGTGAATCTAGATCCAGCATTCACACATCCAAATGTAAGCGATATATTTTTTCTATATCTTCAAACTATTCAACTAGTGGCATAGGAGGATATGGATATGTGAATATCATCCATTGTTTTGATAAAGTTATCGATCTGCGTCTTTTTTGGTCAGGCAAATCACCAAGACTTTTATGTGTTGATTTCAAAAAAAAATTCTCTATCATGCACACAGATCCAAAAACTAGCAAAGATCCGCAATATTTTGTATCAAAAAACATGTAAGTTAACTGATATGTAAATTTATACCATTCTGAATCATGTGTTTTGAAGCTGTTTTGTCCTTTTTTTGTTGTTTCGAAGTTCATATATGCTGTTCGCCTGTCACCCACACTTTCTTGATCTGTTGTCAGTCTAGTAGAATCAGATCGGTACCAGTTAGGTGTTCATAGCATTTCAAGGGTTGGTTTTGTGGGTTTGTCCAGGCCACTGTACCTTACCCTTTCCCATGTCAAGTGGATTGTGTTCCTTGGCAAAGATGTTTCTGATGACAACAAACTATTGCTTTCACAAGCTGTTGATATCTTTCATGTGAGTATAAACTATAAACTATAAAATAGTGTTTTTGTTATTATTCTACAATGTTGCTACACATTAATCAGTAGATTACCATTTATTTTATTTCTGCAGATTTTCATTGATTGTAACAAAAACGCTTCACATCTATTGTTGATTCCATTACTGGAAGCGATTTTATTCCATCAATGGTGACATTCTAAGGAACATCTTTGTTAGAAATGGAGGTGGTGGGTCCTCAAGGTGGAATTACTTTTCAAGATGGTTTTCGTTTTTGTCTTTGCATGGAGAAGTAAAGTAAACAACGAATATATGAGTAATAAATACCCATTTGGTGGATTTATATTTGTTGGCTTTAAAATATAGATTTGATGTATGTTTCAAGATTTTTCCTTTGTTGAATATGTAATTATTGTTAATTTTTTCATGAATTTATATTTTTTTTATAATGTAAAAATTCGCCGCCAACCCGTCACATAAAATCTATCGGTAATCTATTAGTGAGTTTTTCCTAACTTTCATCGTTAGTCCATTAGTCAGTTATTCCGTCGGTAAGTTTTTTGTAAAAAAGTATATTCGTCGGTGATCGGTTACTAATTACCGATGGAAAAATCCGTTGCTAAAATTTGCCGTAGCTGTCGGGAATCCGTTACATATATGAAATGCCTTTTTGGGAATCAGATGTATGATCAAACACCTCTATAACCTTCTTTCCACGTCTAGTACAAGCATCATAAAACCAAGGACAGAATGTCTAATTCCTTAGATTGTTCCGAGTAAAATAAACTTATTTTTCTATAACCATACCAAAAGTAGATTAAAAAAAAAAATTATGTAAAAAAATAATAATAAATAAATTTAAAGGTGAGAATATACCTTCAATGGCTCGATGATATCATAAACATTATTTATTTCATAATCACCTTTAAACTCATCATTATAAGAAAAAGTATGAATCAGAATTACAGTCATACTACTTTTTATCTCCATGAAAATATGAAGGGGAACAAGATCAAGAGTAATGCATCAAACTAAAAGATTGTAATAATCAAACTAACTTTTTCTTGTATTCGTTAATCCCAAAAAGGTATGGATTAATAAACAAATGGGATGTGTCCATATAAAATGAAACTCCACCATGACCAGGATAGTCATGGGGCCCCATCCAATATACATATGAACAACTAAACATATATTCATATAAACACATGGAATAATCACAAAGATAAATAACATACAGGATCCTAACATATCAAACCATGGGCCGACATTGGGGCCCGCCCGGTAAACATATAAACACATAAAACATGCAAGAGTCACACAACCAACTAGCATCCTCACATATCAAACCATGGACCGACATTGGTGCCTTCGGCCCGCAAAACACACTGAAGAAACTCACCTCTGCCTACTGAATCTCTCAAACAAATCTCGGTCTGCTGGATCTGAAGGTCCCCACGCTAACATCATCAAATAATACCCAATAAAAATTTGGATCTACACCCATATTCAAGAATCTAAGCTACTTGACCAATTTCCAAGGTTAAAGACCATTTTACCTTTATCCTTACTTGGCCCAAAACCAAGGCCCAACTCAACTACTCAAAAGGCCCAAATTCCTTAAACGGCCTCACAAGGCCCTCTAAGGCTCAACGTCCAAATTGGGCCCAAAAAGCATTATGGACCTAATCCCAAGAAAGTTTATAGCCTGTCCACGACCCAAAGTCAGAAGACCAAGGAACCTCGATGGAGCTAAGATCTAACATCCATGGCTTCTTGAGTAGATCAAAAGCTCAACTTTAGCTCAAAAGACCCAAAAATGCATAAACCAGGTCCCAAAACTAGATCTAGCATAAGGAACCATCAAGTAGAGAACTTTATACCTCAAATGGTCTCCAAGGATGATGATGAATCTTGATATACAAGCCCCTGCTACTCCCAAGCAACCACCAAGAGTTCTTTTTCTCCTTTAACCAAAACACAACAAAAATCTTAGTATCAAGCTCAAAACTCACAAGAGGCATTTAGGGTATCCTTTTTAAGGGTAAAGGGTGATGGAGGCTGATCAATAAAATGTTTAAAGTTGGTTTAAGTTCTTTAAATAGGGTGAAAACCCTAGAAATTAGGGTTTTCCCCATCCTTGTGTACGCCCAGCGTACTCCCACGTACACCCAGCATAGTGGGTGAAACCGCGATCATTTGGAGAGCTAGTAAGCTAATCGTACTCATATAGTATGCCATGCATACTAGCTAGGAACCAACATGAAATTAATTAAAAATTAAGGGGCTAAAAGGAAACATACCAAATTACGAATCTTACATAAAGAATTCACACTATGTTTCTTAAGGTCAACTTCATGTTGTGTCTTGATGGATTGGGATTAGATGTGTGTACAGTACATTGTGATATGATATGTCTGATAACATCCACAACTGTACATAACAATAATATGAGTTATGTGGATAAGTTAAAGAATGAAAAAAAAAGAATTAAAACATAAGTCATAAATCATAAAATCCTAAACATCATATCAATGTATATCAAGATATTAGAGTAAAAACATCCCAGGCTAAACATAAATGGTGTGTGCACTGTAGTCATCCCAAGCTCTTCCCCTTGCTACCAGAAGTACCTCAAAGCAAAACTAAAAGTCGTAAGCACAAAGCTTAGTGAGCTCCCCAAACTACCACGTACCACATAACATGCAACAAGGAGATATTGGCCCCACCCACACTCTACTATCTCTGAGATACGGGCCTCGCCCGTACTCAGCTGCTATGAGATACGGGCCTCTCCCACGCTCAGGTAATCATAAAATACATCCAAGTATCATACGGACAACAAGTATAACTAAGCATATCAAATCTGTATCATATCAACTATCTATGAGATACATGCCTCGCCCACACTCGACTATCTAGGAGATACGGGCCTCGCCCATACTCGGCTACTTATCAGAATATAAATCCATACCATATCAGCTTTCTGTAACATACGGGCCTCGCCCACACTCAACTACTAATCAGATTACATACACGTGGCGACCTTGGTGTCGTAGACCCGTTCCTACTAGAGGAAACTCACCTCAATCTCGTGTGAATAACTTAAGTGTCCCTGCTCAACAAGAGACTCCACTCACACCCTATACAGAACAACCTCTTAGATACCATTCCACACTCAAAACCCCTTCACAGGTCAACCTTGGTCAAATTCAAGGTCAAGGTCAAAGTCAACGTCCAGTCAAAGTCAAAGTGAACCCCGAGTTGACTCAACTCGTCGAGTCATCCCCCTGACTTGTTGAGTCAACTCGCCGAGTCTCTCCTCAGACTTGTTGAGTTTTACCCTTTACAGAATCGGGATAAATCAACACAACTCGTCGAGTTCCTCTATGAACTCGTCGAGTTCTTCATTCCGTTGCTTCATCTTAATGGATTATGCCCCTATTATTTAGATCTAAGCTCCATGCTTTATATATACACTTAAATTGTGCGTTTAAGGGTAATGTTTCCAACTTTACCCGTTAATACCCTAACTTAATGGATTTAGCTCAAACCCTAACTCTTTATGACCTAGATCTTGGTCCACAGGCCATCAATACTCCAAACTAAGGCATACACAATGAGATCTGGACCCTAGATACTTTACAAATACGTAAAGCTTCTAACTTTCCTTCTATTCATGGCCTTTTGGTGCTTAAAAGGCCAAAATGTCATCCTAAAGCTTGTATAGGTCTTCAATGGCCACAATGTTTGCATCTTTATGCCATGAAAGCCCTTCAAGGCCCTAGATCTGAAGGTTGAAACTTGTTTACAAGTAAATGATGAGGATAGAAAGATGTTTCTAGATCTAATTGCTTCTTCTTGAATCCCCAATCTTCTCCTTCTTCCACAAGCTTCAATACACACAATATTCACTCAAAAATGACTCACAAGCTCACACAATGCATTAGGTCTTCATGATTTAGGGTTTGGGACTTTGAGGCTGGAAATGAGGCTAGCATGTGGGGATTAAGATGCTTAAATAAGGTGCAAAAACCCCGAAATTAGGGTTTCACCCCTCCCAGCCTACTCCTCGAGTAGGTTACTTGAAACCCGTGTCCATTCTGATCTCTACTCGACGAGTTTGGGGCTTCCAACTCGTCGAGTTGTCCTATTAAAATGAAAAATTTATAATTTAAATACATACCAGGAACTTAGTGTTACAATTCTCCCCCACTTGTCTCAGACTTCGTCCTCGATGTCTACTTCCTCGAACAACTCTGGGTAGTGCTCCCTCATCTCCTCCTCTGGCTCCCAAGTTCACTTTGAGCCCTTACGGTGCTGCCACTGCACCTTCACTAACTGCACAACCTTGTTCCACAAGGTTTTCGTCTTTCGGTCTAGAATTACAACGAGTTTCTTAATATAATTCGGACGGTCGTCCACCCGAATATCCTCCAAAGGCACAACGGTGGAATCATACACTAAACACTTCCGCAACTGAGAGTCTGAGATTATTAGTTTCGCTAGGATTTGGGAAGTTTTCGTCTGATCTTTAGGAGTTGTGTGGTCTTTTAGGTTTTGGGCCAGTAATAGAACACTAGCACGGATAAGCAGCAGGTTGTCAGTAGTTTGGTTATTAAAGAGTAAAAAGGATTAGGAATCCTTCAAATCTCATGTATTGCGAAGACTTAGTCGAGTCTAAGTGGGGGAGAATCGCGCAAGTATTCAGGATAGGGGCAGGTATGAGACGGGGATGGGTTTCTCATCCTCATCAAGAAAATGGCGGCCCAAGTGGATATTTGGTTTGAGGGTGGTGTGAGTTTGGAGTTCGGTAAAGCTTCCCAACATGTGAATCGCGTCTTCTTGGGGATTGATAGCAGAATTTGGGGAAGCAGGTTGGGGGTCCAGTCATGAATTCAGTTCAGTTCGGGTGTTCGGTCGAGTGCGTGCTCGACTCTGTATGCGTTTCGAATTGACAGATTAGGGGTAAGGCATTGGGCTGCAGTTGTGTTAGGATGAAAGTGTTGTAAAACTACGGGGGAGTCGTAGCATTCACTAATGGTCAGTTGGGGTGAAAGTGTTGAAAGACTATGGGGGAGCTGTACCATTCTCTAATGGTTAGTTGGGGTGAAAGTGTTGTAAGACTACGGGGGAGCCGTAGCATTCACTAATGATCAGTTGGGGTGAAAGTGTTGTAAGACTATGGAGGAGTCGTAGGATTGACTAATGGTAAGTTGGGGTGAAAGTGTTGTAAGAGTACAGGGGAGCCATAGCATTCACTAATGGTCAGTTGGGGTGAAAGTGTTGTAAGACTACGGGGGAATCGTAGCATTCACTAATAGTAAGTAGGGTGAAAGTGTTGTAAGAATATGGGGGAGCCGTAG